GCTTACTCAAAGCATATCGCCTTGAACGCTGCAAACACCCCAATATCAATGTGGTCTAATAACCGCGATACTCTCTACCTACGTGGTCAGCCAATTCAGTTGTCAGCTTTTCAAGCTATGGTTGCTGGCGTACTACAAAAGGCGGAAGACGACCTATGGGAAGAATTGCTGTGGACGCCAGCAAGGGGGGACCGCTTCCAGATACCGCTTGGAAAGATTCAGGACAACGTTACCTTTAGCCAGCGTGGCTACTCATTCCTTTCACATCCTGAAAATAATCTGACAGGTTGCTGGGAAGCAACCCTATCTAAAATGCTACAAAGCCCCCAAGGCCGCAAGCTATACAAAACTAATAATTCAGCCTGGAAGCCCCAACCAGTTCGACGCTACCTTCGCCGGGTTGAGAGGTTCCTTGAATACCTGCTCTTCCTTACCCACGTAACAGGCGGGCAGCCAGCACGAGGTACTGAAGTTACCACTACACGTTTCCGCAATGGCTATGTACAGGATCGAAATATCTATGTTATAGACGGCCAGGTAGTTTTTATCAGTAGATATCACAAAAGTCAGGCAATGTGGGATAAGCCCAAGGTGATAGCGCGCTTCTTGCCCTGGAGAGTCGGTCAGTTATTCGCTGTCTTTCTAGCCTATGTCCAGCCGCTTGCTGAATACCTTGAGGGCGAGAGACTCAACAGAACCCCAACAGATTATGTGTGGTCTGGCAATACTGGCCCCTGGGAGACAAGCCGGCTTAGCCAGATTATCTCTATAGAGACCCAGTGTTGGCTAGGCTGCAGGCTTACTACCCTTGAATATCGCCATACAGCTATCACAATTGGGAGAGAAGTGGTTAGTAAGGAGTTTGGTGAAGGCACTCAAGAAGCACTTACAGAGGGAGATTTGGAAGAGCCTGAACAGCAGCTTGAAAGCGGCCTTGATCTCCAGGCAGGTCGTTCTGAACTCACCGGCACGCTACGCTATGGCGTTGAGATGGGCATTGTTTCACACCTTAGCCACCGCTCAGTGCAGGTGTTTCGTGATCTAAGCAGCAAGTGGCACCGCTTCCTCCAGTTGTCAAGCACGCTACCCAACCCGCTTAGGCCAGTAAGCGTAGCCAATGCTGCTGGTATCTTGCGCCAAAATCAAGGCCCGCCTGCAAAATCTTTGCCAGCGCAGCCCGCGCAGGACCAAGCAGAGCCTGCGATAGTTACTGATTCAGAAATTCAAATTCTGGTTCAAAAGGTGGTTCAAAAAGAGGGACCAATTACCTTTAAGTCACCAGAGCAGGAAATTGCCCTGCGCGCTATTCTGGCTGGAGAGACACCGCTTGTTGTTGTTCTTCCAACAGGTGGCGGGAAGAGTCTTCTCTTTATGGCGCCTGCGTGCCTCTCAGACCCAGGGGTTACTATCGTTGTTGTCCCATTCCGTGAGCTGCTGAAAAACCTGAAAACGCGGTTAGCTGAGGCGAAAATTCCAGCTACAGAATGGATACCTGGATTTTCAGCTAATGGCCCGGCCCCAATAATTTTGGTTAGCGCAGACGCTGCTGGGAGCTTTGAGTTTCTTACCTTTGCTACCCTGTTAATGCAAGGCGGCTGGCTTAGGCGCATTGTTGTCGATGAATGTCACTTGACATATACTAGCTCTGACTGGCGCCCAAAATTAGCCCACCTCGCCCGGCTGCGTGCTATTAAGGCTCAGTTCATCTTACTTACCGCTACGCAACCACCTCTACTTGAGTATGAATTAGGTGCAGCTATGGCACTTCGCAGCCCACGATATATTCGCGCCCCTACTCTACGCCCAAATATCCGGTACCTGGTCCAGCGATGCCAGCCAGGAGGGCTACTCAAGGCAGCCCAGGGAATCGCTACACGTTGGTTAGCTGGGCTGGCTGGCAAACAGAAGGCAGTTATTTACGGCAAGTACAAAGATACCTGTGAAAAGCTGGCCCAACAATTGAAGTGCAATTACTACCACGCTGGCCTAGACGCTGATGAACGTTCAGGTGTTCTGAAAGCCTGGCTCCAACGCGGTGGGCTTATAACAGCCACGTCATCTCTTGGTACAGGTGTTGATTACCCTGAGATTGTCAGAGTACTTCACGTGGATACGCCTTATGGCGCGATGGATTTCGCCCAAGAATCAGGGCGTGCTGGTCGCGAAGGGCAGCTGGTAGATGCAGTCATATTAGTTGAAAGCCCTCGTCAGAAGGCACCTGCACTGGACATACCAGTAGACCATTCGTGGCGTGCACTTGACGAGGCCGCTATCCAGGAATTTATCAATCCCCGCCTGGGCGCCTGTCGACGGAGTATCTTGAGCCTCTTCCTGGACGGTCAGTCAGTTACCTGTACTCAAGCCCAGGCAGCCAACTGCGACCTTTGTGGTGAAGGCAGTACAGAACTCACCAATGTCTTGAAACAGGACGCCCAAGAAGAAGCCAAGCTGAGAACCACTCTGCAAGACTTAGTCAACGGTTGCCCAGTCTGCTGGCTAAGAGGCTCTCCAACTTGGCTGGATCACTTACACTCACATTGCGAATGGTGTACAACCGTTGAACAAGGCCTGAGCGTAGAAACCTGCGACTATATTAGAGCCCGCAAGCTTTACTGGGATCAAGGGAAACGGGGGGTTCAGAATACACACACCTGCTGGAAATGCGGTATAAGCCAGCACTTCTGCGCTACTGGGCAGGACGAGACCAGGCCCTGTCAGTGGCCAGGGGTGATGATTCCTGTTCTTGTCAGCGTGGCCTACTGTTTGACAATATCAGGAGAAACCCTACATGAAAAGCTGGGGTTTCCGAGATTTAACAGCATTAAGACCCCAGCGGAAATGCTGACTAGCAATTTCCACTGGCTTGCAAAAAAGCACGGCTGTCGAAAATGGGGTCATGTTGTGAGCAACGCTATGGTTGTCTTGGCGGCTGTCCTGACCCATTCTGACGTACGGGAGGAGATTAGTCGTTTGCTACGCCGCGAAAGTGTCAGTTTACATGCAGTGTCACCGGCTACCTGCTAGCCAAACAGCGAATAGGTGTTGTCTTGGCAAGAGGTTTCAAGTCCTCCAAACATCTATGCTACTAAGACTTGTAAAGGAATAGGCCGCCAAGGGGAACAGAATAGATCCATCTCGCAATAGTTATACTGCTTAACAGGATAGTGCCCCACCAGCGCACCCATCTATGTCGCCCACCGCCAGCGAAGCGACCCTAAACTATTCTGTTTGATACGCCATGGGGTTGGATTTGCTCCATTTCCTCTGCTCTGCCGAAGCATCACAGAGGTCGGAGGGTCCCTAAGACAGGGTCTCCACAAGAAACTGAGATTTTCTACTACATATGCATGGCGCTTCGCGAGTACCCCTAAAGGTACAGAAAGCAGGATACAATCGCCAGCTGGGTTTCCCCGAGAGCACAGTTAGATGCACGTCTAACTAGCCCTACTAACTCTTGATTGTGGATACTGAAATAGA